GCCCCCCGACGCAACCATCTTCCCCGAAAGCCTTCCGGAATGCGGATTGACACGCATGGATTTCTCACTGCTTATAAGTCGTTCAGCGTTATGTGCGCTTCTTCACCTCCCGTTTTCCAACCATGTGTAGTCCACCACTTCAATGGAGCAGTGAACTCGTCAAGGCCTGGGGCCTGTTAGAGCCTGAGCGCGCGCGCGAAGCGCGCGCGATGGTTCTAGTATATATATATATATATATATATATGCATGCACGTATGCGTGCATGTATGTATGCATGGATGCTTGCACGTATGTATGTATGTCTGTATGTGTTTGTCTGTCTGTCTGTCTGTCTGTGTGTATGTAGGTATGGTAGGTAGGTAGGTAGGTAGGTCGGTAGGTCGGTAGGTCGGTAGGTCGGTAGGTCGGTAGGTCGGTAGGTAGGTAGGTAGGTAGGTAGGTAGGTAGGTAGGTAGGCATGCACACATGGGCATCTTGGGGGCCTCTTTGAGCCTCTGTTGGGTTTCTCGGGGGCCTCGTAGGCTCTTTTGGGGGCCCTCTTGGGGGCTGGGGGCCTCTTGGGAGCCTCTTGGGGCCTCCTTGGCGCCTCTCGGGGCCTCCTGGCGGCTTCTTGGGGCGGAAGCCTCGGATTCTCGGTTCGTGTTCCCTCTCTTGGGTCCCATTCGGGGCCCTCTTGGGCCGTCTTGGGAGCCTCTTGGGCCGTCCTGGGGCGCTCTTATGTCGTCTTGGGGTCCTCCTGGAGACCTCTAGAGCGTTTTGGGATGGTCTTGGGGGCCTCGTGGGCCGTCTTGGGGCGTCGGAAAACAGAAAAGGCGGGAACTCCAAACTGTGTCGAACACCACCAAAGGAAGATCCATGCTTCTTGCCTCGTGGGCCCCCTTGGGAGGCCTCTTGGGGCGTTTTGGAGGTTTCTTAGGCTGTCTTCGGGCCGTCTTTGGCATCTTGCGTCGATCGCTCGGCGACTCGGGGCCCTTTTGGACCGTCTTCGGGCCCTCTTGGAGACCTCTTGGTCCGTCTTGGAGCTTTCTTGCTGCCGAAGGAGTCACGCGAGAACCCGCGAGAAGCCCCACGGGGCACGCGGGAAAGCCCGAGGGATTTGTCAGTTTGGGGCCTCGGGCCCCTCAGGCCCGAGGACACACCTATTCCGTGGCCAGCGGTACGGTGGCGTTCTAGCTGTACTAATACAGCGGGTACCAACATACATAGAAAACTGATCCAACTAGACCTTTGGCCCGCTGGGGGCCGCTGGGCCCCGAGCGCGCGTGGAGGGTCCCAGACGGCTCCTGATGGCTTCCAGAGGGCCCCAAGCTGGGCCAAGAGGGTTCGATAGTGGAATCGATTGTGAGGACGGTTGTAAGGTCGATCGTGAGTCCGATAGGGAAGTCGATTCAATGAGATCGATGGTGAGATATGTCGTGTGAGATCGATAGAGAGGTGGGTAATGAAATCGATGGTGAGACCGATCGATAAGAAGATCAACCAGGAACCCGGGAACCCCGCCGCCCACCGAAATTGGCCGGGAACCCGGAACCGGAACCAGGAACCCGGGAACCCGGCCGCCCACCGAAATCGGCGCAGAATTTTCGCCAAATCTTGTAATATCCAGTAAGACCCCTTCAGTGCAAGCACTGATTGGGTAAAGATGTATGTATATATATATATCCTTTAGGACCCCTTCAGTGCAAACGCTGATTGGGGAATGTGTCTGCCCGCTGACGGGGGACCCTGCTACAGACCGCCCATCGGGATATCGAACATGTTTGGCCAAGAGCATGTTCACATGAGTGAGAGTCTCTACCAGTAGGTGGCGATTGGCATCCTCCCTGCAGAAAACGCCAGGGCATAGCAGAACGTGATCAAGAACTACCGCGTGCTCACCATCCATTCGGTAGTAGAGCTTCGAATCTCAATCACCCAGAATCAGTGTTCGTCCGTGTAATGATCTGGATTCCACGAAGTCTGCGAGATCGTGGAAACACGTGTGTCGCTGATCAAATGGTTTTCTGGTGTGGGGCGCGTAAGCTGAGAAATTCATTGCTTTCCCTCCGGGTATGCTTATCTTCAGAGAAGCTATTCTCAAGCTGATGGGTAGAACCCAACGCTCGATTTACGAATCCGTGGAGCAACGAGGAAACCCATTAGCTCGTTCAGCATCCCCGTCGGCGCCGCCTTACACCACGACCAACATGCCGGAATCCTTCGCGAAAGTATCTAATTTGGGTTGCCACGTGTCTCGCGTGCACAATACCTTGGTCTCGTTGTCCAGCATGATTTTCTCAAACTCAATCTGCTTCGAAACAGTGTAGCCTGCAATATTCCAAGATGCGACTGTGATTTCCGAGCGGAGAGAGATAAACGCCTGCCCCTGCACACAGCCAGCGGCAGTTTACACTATGATTCAGCGACATTAGCTGCACGGTTATATGGAGGCTCCCCTGCTGGGTGATCTTCGCATTCCCCTTGTACTTGCCCTTGGTCGCAGCTTTGCCACTTCCTTTTGACGGGGCGTTATCTTGCTTGCCGGCCATCTTCTTCAGGGGATCGAGGAACTCAAGGAATTCGGAATCCGTAAACCACGTCTCCCACCCACGCCCATATTCCACATGGAGTTTGCCAAAGATTGTTGTGGCCCTCCTTGAAGGAACTTGTCCAGAAAAAGTGCACGACGGAGTCTCGGTATTTTCGACGAGGTGAATTTGCCAAAGATGATCCCTCGTAAATCCTTTTACGTGTGCACGTCTTCCGGCTGCGGCCCATAACATTCCAAGAGCGTGTTCATCACCCAATATTTCGCCTCATCGAGGTTCCCGAAGTGTCGCAACCCACCGATCTGACGGGTCTTCTTCTTGAACTGGTTGTCTGTGGTGCTGGTGCCGCGCTGGGTCATCAGCATGGGTACCTGCAGCTTCAAAGCCTTCATCTGAACCAAGACGTCATGGCCCACGCTTTGCTCTGACCTCGGTGCACCCTGATCAACTTGATCTTCAAGGGTGGTAACGCGGATGCCGATGTACGCCCTCAATCTTTTCCTCCACGGTCCCCAACCTGCCCTCCACCTCGCCTATGCCCGAGATCTTACGCCGTAGGTTCCTGATCGCCAGTCGCAGAGGACTCGTCTCCTGCCTGAGAATCACTGCGGTTGGACACTTGCGCTGCGAGCCTCCTGAGGCGTGTCGGGGACCTGCAGTGGCGTGCTGATGTTAGATGACTCCAGGCCGTCGTCCATGTTGTGCAACGGACTGACGCGCCGGCGTCGGAGAAGACTCACGTTCTCCTGTTTCTGGGGTTCCTGGGGCTCCTCTTTCTGGGGTTCACGGAAAATGCAAGAAGAAATGGAATGGAACGGGATTGGAAACGGAATGGAGAGATTTCGAAAGTTTGAGGTTGAGACCTCGGCGAGGCGCAGCTGCTTGAGGATCTCCTGGAGAGAATGTGAGTGCTCATCAAATAGCCTAAGGAACACTGTTGATGTTCGCCTCTTCGGGCCTTGCTGGAGGCTCTCATGGAGCCCTTTTGGGGCTTCTTCGGGACATCTTGGGCAATCTGAGGTCATCTTTGGCTGTCTTAGAGCCATCTTGGGCAGTCTTGGACACATCTTGGCCATCTTGGCGGCATTGGCGGCCTGCCTGGGCAATTTTTTAAGCAAGGTTGGGTATCTTGGATGCCTTTGAGAGCGCCAGGCCTCAACGTGCCAGGGGGCACGCTTGCGGCTTGCATTACGCAGCTTGCACCACATAGCTTGCACCACATAGTTTTTGCACATCCACAGCGCAAGGACTTTCTCTTTGGGGTTCACGCTGTCAAACGTATGTTGCATCCTCCTTTTGTTCGTCGGCGAGCCCGAGGGGAAGTGAGCAGGAGCGGGCCTTCTCAGAAGGCTCGGGAGCCTCCTGGCCTTCTCAGAAGTTGTCTAAGCCTTCCCCGAAGACACCGGAAACTTCTCAGAGGGCTGGAGGGCTTCTGAGAAGCCCCTCCGCCTTATGAGAAGGCCTTCTCCTTCTCTCGGGTGTAGAGGTGCCCTTAGACCAAGGTGCCCCCAGGATTTCCAAGGAGGTCCCCATGGCCTCCAGATCATGCCACTCGAGGCCCAGAGGGCCCCAGGGGCTCCAACACTGAGCGAAACGTTGGTGGCACCTTCGGCCAGGGGCACATTTAGCAAGCTCCGACTCTCACTCCCCCCCTCGCTCAGCGCCGACTGGCTCCTGCCTCTGTATGCCGATGCAGATCCTCGTGAGCCTTGGGTGGGCCGCCCACCGTGGGCGGGGTCCCGCGCGGAGCGCGCGAGCTGAGCTCACCACCTTCTTGGAACCTGCGGCAGAGCACGTCAGCCACACTTGTTGGATACAGGGTCCATGTAAGTTTTGTAGGTGGCTCGATGCTCCCTGTCAAGAGGGAAAGGTACCGATACCGCTACACTTTGCCCGTTCACCCCTTTTGGGGTCTTTGGGAGGCTCTTGTCGCCACCGCTGGCTTCGCCTCGAGATCCTGGTCAGAACGCATCCCGGGAGAGGTCCGGGTAGTAGCGGTATTGGTACGTTTTTGTCTCCCCGGCTTTTGGATCATGTCCATTTCAGTTTCGGAATTGGCTCGAAGTTCCTCGGGTCCTTTCATTTTCTTATGCCGTTCCTCGCAAATGTGTGGGCTCACGTGAGGCCCCACAGGGGCAGCGTTCCTTATCAAAGGGTCCTTGCGGCAAAATGTCGACTGTAGTCATTCTCGTGCGTCTGCTGCTCGGTACGATCAGAGTCGGCCGTAATGAGGAAAGCATCGGGACACAATCCAAAACAGTATTTGCCATTTTTTGTTGAACAGGACTCGATATCGGTGTCGCCGCAGATGTTTTCTATTGGACATAACTGTCACCTGCCCAAAAGTAGCCGCTGCCGGCTTCGGACAACGTTCGCTGTTGCGCACAAAACCCGTGTTCCGTCCCAAACGCGGGCGTGCCAAGCAAATATTTTTCCCCCGCTTGTGAGCTAGGTCTCATCAGACCCCGGTTGAGGACTACCTGGATTCGAACAACTCGAACTTCTTCCGCCTGCACTGCATGCTGCGGAATTGCTGTGGCGGAGTGAGCTCCAAGGGGACAAACGGCACCTGGCTCATCAAGGACCGCCGCATGGGCATCAAGGGTACCAGCAGCATCTGGGACATGAGCTCCAAGAAGAAAACACGCGGGAATTTCCACGAGTTGGTGGAGCACCGGTTCTTCCGTGAGAGCTGCAAGGTTGAGGATTTGGCCACGAGTTTGGACGTGATGGTCCAGGGCAAGCATTCGCAGTACATCAACAGGCGCTTGTCTTACGGGATGGCGAAGGACCCAATCCATTATTTGGCAGGGGTGCAGCGCCAGACTGAGGGCGGAGTCGTTCTGGCGCTGCAGACGTTCTTCCGGAAGAAGGAGGGTACTCCCATGGTTTGGATGGCTTTCTGCGTCTTCACGCTGTTTGTCGCCTCTCTGGCCAACCTCATGTATGGCCAGGGCACGCGCGGCTTCATCCGGATGCTCGGAAGTGAGAGCGGGCTCGAGGGTGCCCTCGACCTCGCGAGGGGCCAGGCCGACTGGCTGATCCAGCAAGGTCTGGCTGCGTCCACTGAGCAGGAGGCTTGGACGACCGTCATACTGGACACGCAGATCTGGGTGGCACTAGTGCTGGGCTTCTTGCTGCTGCTGGTACTGTCCAGCAGCCTCTCCTACGTGCTGCACCACTGCACCTGCGGAGGCAAACGACGCAAGGTCCGCCGCACGCGCTTCCCCACCAGCATGGCGCAGTGGGCGCGGTTACTGATCCTGCTGGACAGCCTGACGTACTATCTGTGGTTCTGGACGGCCTTCTTCTGGATCGCATTAAACTACTACACGGTCTTCCAGCAAAGAACCTACCACTTCGAGGCAAAGCCCATGACGTTTTTCTCTTGGGCCCTGCAGTTTCTGAGTTGGGCGATGGTCATCTTTGCGACAGCGCGCTATCGGATGGACCAGAGCATGCAGGCCAACGAGGTTTTCTTTTTGAGCCTTACGAACCTGTGGCGCACCACGCAGCTATTCTACATCACCGCCCCGCTGACGCTGTTCTCCATTGCCACTGGCTGCGGCGAGTTCTCCCGTCACAGGATGTTGGGCGTTGATATCAGTTACTGGTCGGCAGGCGATCGCGGTTCAATCTCGACCACCATCACGAAGTGGTGGACTTTGTTGTTGATGTTTGGGGCCATTGCGGTGAATATCATTTATTGGTTCGACTTGCTGTCTTTTGTAGACCCTATATCCGTGCTTATCGTGAGCGTCATTGGTCTCGATGTGGTGCACATCTGCGCATTCTTGTGGCTGGGCAACAAGAACGAGGCTCTGCCGAAACCACCGCCCTCCTCGTTGCCCAATTGGCAGTGGTGCATTGCTCGCTTCTTCCAGCTGCTCTTCAGCATGAACTTCTACCGCAACTCGCTGCGAGGCTTAGTGTTCAGCTCGAATTTCGTGCTTCTGCTGCAGTGGGTTGGCCCCCTGCAGCATGTTGTGTTTCCCCTACTCATCCCCTTCAAGCCTGAGCTGGGCGTCAACCAGGCTCTCCTGCTCCTCATTGCAGGCAAGTGAGGAGGACTGCGCGAGACCATCGTGATCGTAGACTGGTCTTCGCGTTGCAACTGCCAGCGCGAAATCCGATCGGATGGATGATCTGCAGTGCGTGCACAGCAATCCGCCGCATTCTCCTGCTTGAGATCCAAAGTGAGCTCATTGTGCAGATGATTTTGTTACCCGCGCGCGATGAGGCCAGCCCTTGTGACTACCAGAAAGTGTAGCGCTAGTTTTCATGCCGCCAATTCGGCAACACAAGTTTGTCGATGTCGTCGCCCCCACTGCCCAGGACGGGTCCTGCGCGATCATGATGAGGCGCAGAGAAATTGAAGAACTCGTCATCACGACACCCGCGCCAGCACTTTGTGTAGATTTGATAGGATGTGTTCGAGAGTTTCGACGGTGGTTCTGCAGGCAGTGGGGCCATGGCCCCGCTTGTGGGACAAATATTTGAGCGACTGGGGTTGCTGCTTTGCCCTCAAGGATGGCGCCCAGGCCTTCCTGGAGTGCCGAAGCTGAGACCAGACATGTTTTCCTTCCAGCTTCTGTTCCCCTTCTGCTCCTCATCACCCACATGCCTGTCGATTGTCGACGTCTATACTTGTTTTCGCAGTTGTTTCCGACTTCTGTATGTTATGTGCCCCGAATAGTGCGACGCCGTGAATGTTAGAGCTTCGCCACGAGATCGTACCCCAGAGGGGAATCGGCGGGCTGTTTGCGATCTAGGAAGTCAGCGGTGTGAGCACGCTCCTGTACCCAGCTTTCCACACTATGCGCAACCAGCGCAATCTGCAGGATGATAAGTACCTGAAGCCCTTCTCCGCCCTCGGCCACGCCCCCATCGCGATCTACCTGGTCAAAATCCCGCGACTGAAGCCCAACGGCTCGGAAATATCATTGCTTTTGGGATTTCGGTTGCTGACGTTCGCCGATAGTCGGAGGGACCGCCTGTCGACCACCGGAAGGTGAGGGCATTTTCCTGCGAATCCTCCTTGTGATTTGAGCTCCAGGCCGCCAGCCGCTTCGACTGCTGGAGGCTCGCCGACCCCTTTCGCTTACCGCGGAGGCCTGCAACAGGCAGGGGGCCCGCCGGCGTCGCCGACGGCTGGAGAGCAATGCCAAGGATGGAACCGACCAGGCTGCAGATGGACGGAGGGCGGTGCCAGACGCGCCGCGTGCTCTCCTGGCGCTGGGAGGCCGTGGCCCCCCGAGTGGTGATGCGCGCGAGCCTTAACGCCGAGACTGTCGGGCAGGTCGCCATCGCGTCCTCGCCCACGCTGCCCGCGGACGTGGCTGCGGTCAGGGTGAGCGAGGTCAGCTCCGGCGCGGCGGGCGGCGCGTCCCAGATGACCCCCCTTTGCACGTGGGTGTGCGTGCTTGTCTGCTGGAGCACCTCGCTCGTGCCGCTACCAGCATCCGCGATGGGGCGGAGGTGGAACATGCCAAGGCGACGAATCGCCCAGCGTGCCTGCATTCACTGCTTGCTCTCAGCGTGCGAGGCCGCCCCACGCCCCAGGCCAGCGACAGTTTCGCGGGGCACGAACGCAGGATCGACGGCTTGGACACCGACGACATTGCCAGGTTTGGGGCTATACTTTGCGGCCGCGCTTTCCTGCGCCACGGCGTCGGGCGAGTTGCTCATCATCCGGGCTGGGGGGCCATACTTTCTCTCCCGCGGGCCTTTCGCGGACCTGGCGTCGCAACCACGAATTGTTGGCGCCCGCGCGGCAAACCGTTGGGCAGAGGCCAACGGGCTGTAGTGCGAGCTTGGCCTGGCTAGATTCCCGCACAGCTAGAAAGTAGGGTAACGCTTGGGGACGCTGGAGCCCCCCGGTGTTTTGTAATCGCGCCCAGAGTTGGACAACGCTCACCATCGCACCACATGTTCTGATCACATCTATATTCGTGTCCCCCCGCGCTCCCTTCGTCCTCGTCGTCGTCGTCATGTGTGGCTGATCCTCTGTGGGCGCGGTCATCGTCTGTTCCGTCGCTGTTTCTTCGCACCACATCTCCAATCGATGTTTGACGTTGTCTTGCGTTGTTTCGTGAAGCGTTCATCGCGCAGGCCTTGCATATGGCTCCCATGCCGGGTAACGTATATTTCGCGCGCGCGTTTGTGTGTGGTCACGCCCATGTGACCTGTGCACATGGCAAGGTACTTGCATGTGTGTCATCGTCCTGATGCGGTCATACAGGATGGTGTTGTTGATAGTATCGCGTCGCACATGGATCGGAGACGTCGTTGTTCATGGTGATCATTCCAGCCCTGTCTGATAGATGACGAGGAGCGCGGAGAGGAAAAAAACATGTAATATCGAAGACGCCTACGGCGAATCACCGCCGCCCCCTGCCTTTTTGGAAGCGCCTATGTGGCCGAACGTTGAGGCCAGACCTGCCAAGCTATCGGACCATGTGTTCCCCGAATCGGTTTGGAAAGCCTTCGGGGAACACGTGGGCATCTTGAAGGTCATCTTGGCCGTCTGGAGGCCATTTTGACCCTTTCGGGCCTTCTTGGAGGACGTCTTGGAGGGCTCTTGGGCCGTCTTGGAGGCCATCTTGAGCGTTTTGGAGGCCTCTTGGGCCGTCTTGGGGGCCTCTAGGGGCCGTCTTGGGCGATCTTTGGGGGCACTTGGGCCGTCTCGGACCGTCGGAAGGCAACAACAAAATGCAAATGCCACAATCCTTCAGCAACTCCTAGGGAAATCAATGATTTTGGCCTTTTCGGGCCTTCCTGGAGGCCCTCTTGGAGGCCTCTTGGGCCGTCTTGGGCCATCTTAGGCCATCTTCGGCCGTCTTGGTGGGCTCCTGGCGCGTCTGACGCCGTCTTGGGGGCCTCTCTGGGCCGACTTGGGGCCCTCTCGGGGCGCTTCGGGGCCGTCTTGGGGCTTTCTTGGGGCCGTCTTGGGGGCTTGGGCCGTCATGGGGCCATCTTGGAGGCCTCTTGGGCGATCTTGCGGCGACCTTGGGGGCCTCTTGGGCTGTCTTGGGCCGTCAGAAAGCCGAAAAGGCGCAAATGCCAAAATCCTTCAACAACCTAAGGAAAATCAATGATTTTCGCCTCTTCGGGCCTTCCTGGAGGACCTCTTGGAGGCCTCTTGGGCCGTCTTGGAGGCGTCTTGGGGGCCGTTTTGGGCCCATCTAAGGCCGTCTTGGGTGCATCTTGGGCCGTCTTGGAGGCATCTTGGGGCCATCTTAGCCGTCTTGGAAGCCATCTTGGCCGTCTTGGAGGCATCTTGGAGGCCATCTTGGGCCATATTGGCCGTCTTGGAGGCCATCTTGGGCGTCTTCGAGGCCTCTTGGGCCGTCTTGGGGCCCTCTTGGGGCCGTCTTGAGGGGCCTCTTGGGCCGTCATGGGGCCATCTTGGAGGCTTCTTGGGCGATCTTGCGGCGACCTTGGGGGACTCTTGGGCTGTCTTGGGCCGTCGGAAAGCCGAAAAGGCGCAAATGCCAAAATCCTTCAACAACCTAAGGAAAATCAATGATTTTCGCTTCTTCGGGCCAAGAGGCCTCTTGGGCCGTCTTGGAGGCCTCTTGGGAGGCTCTTGGGCCGTTTTGGGCCATCTTGAGGCCATCCTAGGCCGTCTTGGGTGCATCTTGGGCCGTCTTGGAGGCATTTTGGGGCCCTCTGAGCCGTCTTGGAGCCTATCGTGGCCGTCTTGGAGGCGTCTTGGCCGTCTTGGAGGCCATCTTGGGGCCGTCTGGGGCAGGAAAACCGTTTGCAACCACCTCTTCCGGGTGGCCGGCGGGACGCGCCGGAGCCCCAGGGTGAGTTCTTTTGGAAAAAGAACCGAAACCCATGTAATTTGGCACGCCAGGCACCCCTTTGATAAATCAGAAGGGGGCGGCGGATCCAGTTGCCAGCGGCAAGTCCCGCCACCGTGCCAGCCCAACATTCTGGGTGGCGACTGTTCGAGGGGTTGGGAGGCCGTCACGTATGACACCTCGTGCTGTGGCTCTAGGCTTGGGGGAGCCGTGATAATGTCAGCTTGTGATTAACAAGTGGCTATCCCCCCCAGGGCTGAGAATAGACACCGCGGGGCGCGAGACTTTTTTGTTAATCGCGCGCGCGAGGGGGTCGTCGCTGGCGCCGCCGAGAGGATCGTGCACCCCATGCACGGCAGCCTCAAAACGACTGCATGTCGTATAGAAGTTGTTGTTGGGGTCGTACACATCCGAGGCGATTCTGTGTCCTCTTCTCAGGCGTCGTCGTCGTCGTCGCCATCGTCGCCGTCGTCGTCGTCGTCGTCGTGTTCTTCGTCGTCCTTGTCGTCCTCGTCGCCGTCGCCGCCGTCGTCGAGCACAGCGGGCCTGCGCAGCCCCTCCCCCCCGATAGGGCATCCGCAGTGCGTCGTCGTCGTCGTCGTCGTCGTCGTCGTCGTCGTCGCGTCGTCGTCGTCGCGTCGTCGTTCGTCGTCGTCGCCGCCGTCGCCGTCGTCGTCGTCGTCGTCGTCGTCGCCGTCGTCGTCGTCGTCGTCGTCGTCGTCGTTGTCGTCGTCGTCATTTTCGTCGTCGTCGTCGTCGTCGTCGTCGTCGTCGTCGTCGTCGTCGTCGAGTACAGCAGGCCTGCGCAGTGCGTCGTCGTCGTCGCCCTCGCCGTCTGCCGTCCGCCGTCCGTCGTCCTCGTCCTCGTCCTCGTCCTCCTCGTCTTCGTCCTCGTTCATGTCGTCGTCTTCGTCGTCGTCTTCGTCGTCGTCGTCGTCGACTACAGAAACCACGACAGAGGGGGGAGGAGGACTGCCCGCCTTGCTCGGGTCGGACGAAAGGTTGGGGAAGGAAGGGGGGCGTTGCGAAGCCTGCCGCGCGCAGCTTGCGTCGGTTGCCCCGCCGAAGGGCCACTCCTCGATGCATGGCCGCTTTTGGCGCCAGAATGTGAGCTGCTGGACGAGTCCCCGGTTGGCCACGCCCCCTTTCGTCCAGCCCGCCTTGCTCGCGGGCCCGCGAGGCAGTTGGCGCCCCCATGGCTGCGGCCAGGGAGGAAACGCATCGGTTTGACAGAAACGAGCACGGAAAGAGCGGGGTCGGGCGCCGACGGCAGTTCTTTTTCATTTCGAACAGGTGTCGCTCTGGCTCACGGTCCCTGCTTTTGTCGGCTTCCCGCCCTCCTCCCCTTCCCCAGTTTGTGCTGTCTGTCGCCTTCCCGTTGGCGGGTGGGCGTCGGCGCTAATCATTGGCGCCGCCGCCGCCGTTGATTTTCAATCTGGCGGGCGCCGCCCCGCGATTCGGTCGTGATGGCGACTATGAGAGTGATGGGGATGATGATCATGATGATGTTTGAGGATGATGACGACGATGATGATGAGTTCATGTGATGTTGATGGTGGTGCTGACGATGTTGAGCTCGCGCAGGTTGCCAAGCGAGGGCGCGCGGAGCTGAGCGCGGTCCGCCCGGCGCGAGGCAGCCGCGGTGGCCAGCGGCCTCGCCCCTTCCGCCGCCCCGCAGGGTCAAGCCCCCCGCGCTGCCTCGCGGGTCGCCCCGGCCAGCGGCATCGCCGACCGCGAGGCGACGCGACTGCTGACAGAGGCTGCCGCGTGGGAAGCGCGCGGGCTGATGCGCGCGGCGCCAGTCCAGATTGGCGGCGATCATCGCAAGCTCATGCGCGCGGCGCCCCACAACGCCGAGGTCGTCCAGCGCGCGGGCCTCGCCCGCCGCGCCGGGCGCGCTGGCCCCGACGCGCCTGCGTCGGCCCTCGGTCGCCGGCTGGCCGACGCGGGGGCCGCGAGAGTCTGGCCGCCGACGATCCCGCCGCCAGCTTCTCGCGGCGGGGCCAGCGACGGGCGCGTGCGCGCCCGGGCCCGCTGAAGGAGGCGGTGGGGCGGGGGACCGCCCCGACCGCCGGGGGTGTCGCGCGCCAGGGTCGGCTGCCGGCGCGGGCCAGCGCCGCCGCGCCCGCAAGCGGGCCGCCTGGCAGGAGGAGCGGGTCGCATTTCTGGCGCTTCCGGAACGCGCATCCGCCCCGCTCGGCCGTCGCGCCCGGCGCGCGGCCAACCTGCGCAGGGTCGACCGCGCTGCAGGCCCCGCCTGCAGAGCCTGACGCTGCCGCTGTGGCCGGCGGGAGCGGCGGTGGACCATCGGGGCCCGGCCAGCCTCCGGGCGCGCCTCCCGGGGCCGCGCCCGGGGCGCCCCCAGAGCCTCTTCCTTCGAGCATGCGTGCCGCATCCGTTCCGCGCCCCGCCTGGCCGCGGGGGCCCCTGCCAGCTCGGGCCCGGCGGTGAGGCCGCAGTCAAGGTCGGGGCGGGCCCTCTGCCGCGGTGTCCCAGTTGCGCTCCTGCACTTCGCGGGCGGGGCCGGTCCTCCGGCAGTGGCTCGGGCCCCACGACGGCTCCAATGCCCAGTCGCCGCCTTAGCCTCCTCCCTCCAGCTCAGCGCGCCGCTCGTGGCGGGGCGCAGCGACGCGCGGACGTCAGGGGACGGGGGCCGAGCGGCGTGGGGGGAGGGCCTAGCGCCGCGCGAACTTCCGATTCCAAAACGGCTCTCGTCGAGGACCCTGGCGCGAGCCAATCTCCGCGATCCCGCCGTGGGTCGCGGGGCAGCGGGGGGCGTGGGGGCGGCCCCCCTTCCCTGGCCCGGCCGCCGGGGGCGCCTCCCGTGACGCCCGCCCCCATCGGAGGCCCAGAGGAGGGTGCTAGAGCGTCGTCGGGGAGACGCGGAGCGTCTCCTCCGACTCGAGCGCGCGAGAGAGGCAGCCCGCAGCGAAGGCCAGGGGGGAGCCAGCGAGCGCCGCCGCCGCGCCCATCGCTCGGCGTTCTCGGTCGCGATCCTCTCCGCTCGAGGCGGCTTCCCTGGCCCCGCGGGGCCCGAGAGCGCCTCCCGCGCCGGCCGGCATGCCCTATTTCGGCGACGCCGCGGCGGCCCCGCATGGAGAAAGGCGCGCCGTCGGCGGGGATGCCAGTGCGTCTTCGCCCACCGAATCCGCGCCCCTCGTGGACGTCTTGCTGGCTGAGCTGGTGCTCTCTCGCCAGCGTCAGCGGCGTCGCCTCGCTGAGCGCGCCCTTGCAGCGCAGAGATCCGCCATGGTCGCGTTGTCTCCGCGGCTAAATCTCACGCTGCTCGCGCGGCCGGCGGTCCGTCCGACCCTCTGTCTGTAGAGTCGACGTTGCCGCTGGGCGCGAGCGACGCGCGCGGGCCCGGGCGACGCTTGGGGGTTTCCGGCGAGCCTCTGGCCGTCGCCCGATGTCGGGGGCCCCCAGACGCGGTGGTGACCACGCCGCGTGGTGAGTCGGTGGGGATTCGGGGTCGCCGCGCGGTTTTGGGACTCGAGCCCCTCTCCGAGGATGTCTCGGGCGACGGGCCTCCGAGGTCCCGGCGCCGTGCGGTGACGGACTGCGCGGTGAGGTCTCGGGGGATTTCGAGGTCGCCGCGCGGCCCGTCACCGCGCCGCTTCGGAGCTCCAAACGATGGTTGCTTGAAGACGACGCGTTTCAGAGCGCCTTCTCGCGGCTCCGCTGGTTCGCCGGCGGGGCCCGACGAGGCCGCCGGCCCCTCTCCTCGCCGCCGCTGCGCCTCTGGCACGCTCGGCGGGCGCGCCGCCACTTGTTTCGCACGTGCGGCGCGCGCCCCGTGCAGAGCCCGGACGAGCTGCTCGCGGCGGACGCTGCCCGATGGCTCGCGGGATGAGGCCGTCGGGCCCCTCATCCAGGGAGCCGTTTGGCGAGTCGGCCTGGGTCGCGATGCGATGCAGCGCCGAAGGGCCGCGGCTCTAGCCGGCCCGCTGGGCGGCGTGTGGCACGCCGGCCTCGGCGGGAACTCGTTCCCCGTCTTTGACTGGGGTCGCCGTGGGGGGCCCCCCGAGCTGCGTCGCGCGTTCGCGCGCGCAGTTTCGGCGGAGTCGCCCTCGGGGCTGCCCCCCGCAGCCCGGCGCCGCGAGACGTCGCGGGAGTGCGCGACGCTCGTGAGGCCCGCTGGCGCCAGCGACCCCTGCGATTAATTGGGTGCCTCTCGAGGTTGGGGACCCGCTGCCATTGGAGGTGGAAGCTTCGGCGCGCCGCGTCGCCCTCGACGCCTGGTCCCCCGTCACCGCCGCGCGGGAGGACCTCGCCGTCGACGCGGGCATCGTGTTCGACGGTCGCGAGGCGCGGCGCCCCCCGCTCTTCGCGGCCAGGCGCGAGCGGGCGGAGCTGGTCTCGCAGAGCCGCGCAGCGGTGAGGCACCGCGCTGCTGCGCGGAACGGGCCGATCCCGCGGTGCGCGCGCGGCCTCTGCATTGCTCCTGTAGCGGCCGCACCTGCCGCCGCCGGCGCCGCCGCGTCGGCGGACAGTCCTGCCGCGGGGGCGAGCCCGGAGCTTAGCGTAGCCTGACCTCTTGCCTCTCGCGCCCCTTTCGCGCGCGATTCGCGCCTCACCTCTCCGCGCCTTGAGCGTCGGTCTAAGTCGGTCGACACGTTGGAGCTCTGGCTCGCGGAGCATTCTCGCATCGCTCCCGCTGCGCTGCGCCGCAGTGGGTTCTGTTTTCGCGCTTTCTCGCCATCTTCGGCGCTTGGCTTCGCGACGCAGGTCTTCCGCGCTGCATCGTGGCACGCGCCATGTGCGGGCAGCGGGCTGCGCGTTTTCACTGGCGCGCCGTCCTCGCAGAAACTTGACGCGCGGCCGAGCAGCGGGGACTTGCCGAGCCACCCGCGCTCCGCCCGCCTCTACTCCGCGCCCTGTTTCGCATTGTGTTTGCCTTCGTCCTGCAGTGGACTGGCTGGCGGCCCTGCTGCTGCTAGGTTCCACGATGATCCTCCGCCCTGGCGAGCTTGCGGTCGCGCGCTGTCGTGGCCCGTCGCTGCCTTGCGACCGCTTCGAGGCCAGCGGGGATGCTTTCCTCGCCATGAAGGCGCCGAGGGCCCGCCGCGCATGCTCCGCGCAGCACGATCGCTGCTCTGATGGGGAGACGGCGAGGCACCTGGAACATGCGCCCCAGCATTTGTGCTCCGCCGATCCGCTATCAAGATTTGGCAAAAGCGGCCTCCGCACTTGGTGGAATCATTTTGGCTTTCGGCGTCGGGCGTTCCGTCGTTGTCCAGCGCGGCCTCCGGGCTGTGAACCCCGCGCCTGCGCGCCCTCGAGGTTCTAGGGCAACAGACTTCTACGCGGCCGCGGAGGGCGCCCCTCGCGTTTTCTGGCGTGGCCATTGGCGGCAGGCCTCCAGCGCGGAGCGCTATTTCTAGGCTGCCGCCGCCGCGTCGTTTTTGCTTGCTCTGCCTTTCTTATCCCGCGCGCGCAGCGTTCTGTGACGCGAATGGCGACCGCTTGGTCGCCTCCGTCCCATGCGCGGGCCCTCCTGTGCGGCCCGCGCAAATTCCGGCCGCCCTTGTCGCCGCGCAACGGCGTCGAGCATGGGCACGGCTGATCGAGCCCTTCGGCGCGCAGGGGGACATCTTCCCGTGAGCGGCGCCGCGCGGCCCGCGCCCGCCCGCCGGGGCCCGGCCCTTCCGGGCCCCGCCCGCGCGCGCCGGCCGCGGCTTTCGCCCGACGACCCTTCGCTAGCGCGGATCGGGGGAACGATGGCGACGACGTTGATGATGTTGTTGTTGATGATGATCATGGCGATGATGATGATGATGATGATGATGATGATGATGACGATGATGATGATGATGATGATGATGATGATGATGATGATGATGATGATGATGATGATTATGATGATGATGATGATGATGATGGTGATGGTGATGGTGATGGTGATGATGATGATTATGATGATGATGATGATGATGATGATGATGCTGATCATGCTGATGATGATGATGATGATGATGATGATGATGGTGATGATGATGATGATGGTTATGGTAATGACGATGGCGATGGCGACGATGATTGTGATGATGAGGGCGAGTAGGAGGATGAGAACGATGAAACTCATTTGGGCCTTTTTGAGGCTGTCTTGGCCTCCTATGAAGCTGCGTTGGGGGTCCATCGGGGCCTTCTTGGTCCGTCTTGGGACCTTCTTGCGCAGCCTTGGGGCTGTTGTGGGCCGTCTTGGGGCCTTCCTCGGCCGCGTGGCGGGGGCCTGGGAACCGTCGTAGGGCCGTAGGAGGAGGAGGAGGAGGAGGAGGAGGAGGAGGAGGAGGAGGAGGAGGAGGAGGACGCGGAGGGAGGACGAGAGGACGAGGAGGACGGGAGGAGGAGAGAGAGGGAGGAGGAGGAGGGAGGAGGAGGAGGAGGAGGGGAGGAGGAGGAGGGAGGAGGAGGAGGAGGAGAGAGGAGGAGAGGAGGAGGAGGAGGAGGAGGAGGAGGAGGAGGGGAGGGGAGGAGGAGGAGGAGGAGGAGGAGGAGGAGGAGGAGGAGGAGGAGGAGGAGGAAAAGGGGAAATGAACAACTGGAGGAGCAGAAAACAGGGACGAGCAGAAAAAAACGAAGAGACCAAAGGGCAGGAACAGGAAGAGGAGGATGGGGAAGAGGAACGGAAAGGATAAGGCGGAGGAGGATGATGAGGGCCGAAAAACAGGAAGAGGAGCGAACGTGAGCAGGGTGAGGATGACGAGGCCGAAGGGCAGGAGGAGGAGGAGGAGGAGGAGGAGGAGGAGGAGGAGGAGGAGGAGGAGGGACGCATTGAAAAGGACGGCCGCGGCCGCGACAGAGTGACGGGGGCGCGCTGGGCGCCGCCCGGAGCCCTTGCCAGGGCCAGGGCGACGTCACGGAGAAGATGGTGTTTTGTTTCAAGGTCCTGCCTTGCGACAGGAGAGCTCGCTGGGCGGGCCGGCGGGCCCTCCTCGCTCGCCCGCCCCTGGCTCTCCACCCGCATCGTCCCGCGTCTCCTCTCCTGTCCTCCCCCCTCCGTTCCCCCATCCCTCCTCTCCCTTCTGCCCTTTCGCCGCCCACGCCCGCCTCTCCTCCACCGTTCCGTCTCCCCTCCGCGTCCTCCCATTCCCTGCTTGTCTGTGTTCCCTCCCTCTCTCTCTCTCTTTCTTTTCCTCTCTCCTTCTTTCGTTCCGCCCCCCACTTCCCCGCCCCTCTTTTCCCCCTGCTCTCCCTATCCCACCCGTCTCTCCATAACCAAAGAATGTGGATAGTGGTTTCGTTTTGCATATGATGCCGTGTTGGTTTGACGTCGCCTCTTCCGCAGATATGCCTGCCATACAAAACTTCAAGCGCTGCTGTTTCACAGCTCTCCTGTGTCGTTGGGCTCTAGTTTTTGAATCTGCAGAACCCCACGTCAGTGAGCCTCCTCCTCCTCCTCCTCTTCCTCCCCATCCTCGCCTCTTCCCCTCATCATCGTCATCATCGCCTGCATTGCCATCAGCAGCAGCATCACCAGCATCAACATGATTGTCATCGGCATCGCCACTATTATCAGCATCAGCAGCAGCATCATCATCATCATCGTCATCATCATCATTAGCATTACCATTGCTACCATCATCATCATCATCATCATCATCATCATCATCATCATCATCATCATCAACATCAACATCATCATCATCATCATCATAATCAGCATCATCATCAGCAGCATACCCATCACGATCACATGCATCAGAAAATTCAGCATATTCATCGTCAGCACAAGTTTCATCATCATCAGCAGCAGCATCATCATCAGCAGTATTGTCAGCAGCACCGCCATCATCATCAGCATCAGCATTATCATCACCATCATCATCCTCAACAGCATCATCGTCACCATCAATGTCAGCAAAGTCGCCATCACATACATTGTCATCATCACCACCACCAGCACCATCACCATCATCAGCAGCAGCATCATCAGCATGATCCAGTATCATTAAGAGCACCATCTCCATTACCTGCATCAGCAAATTCAGCATCTTCATCGTCAACACCATTCGCATCATCAGTATCATTAGCATTGGCATCAGCATCATCATCATCATCATCACCCGCATCATCATCAACAGCAGCATCATCACCATCAACACTATCAACGTCACCATCGCCATCGTCATCATCATTGTCATCAGCATCGTCATCATCACCACCATCATCATCATCATCGTCATCATCATCAGCATCATCATCATCACCATCACCATCATCATCATCAACACCATCCGTAGCCGATGTGGCTCAGCATCCTCTTGTGGTCTTGGTTCATCGCTCCTCCGTGTGGTTCGGATTCCTAGGCGACTTGCTATTGCGATCGTGTTCGCTTTGTAATCTCTGGGTTGTGCGCAGTCTCTGTTGTCCGACCCAGCTTTTCATGTATTTAATCACTTAGCTCGTTCCGCCGGCCCATATTATATTGCCTCGCCGTTGTCGTGTGTCGGGATGTTGTTGTCACTGCGGTGCCGTTGGGCGGCTGCCATCTTTCGGAGGCGGTGGGTGGTGGATAAGAGGACTCATGGATGTTGGTTGGGCTTTCGTATTTGGCCTCTCGGGGGCCTCTGGGAGGCAGTTTTGAGGCCTCTTGGAGGCTGTGTTGGGGCCTCTTTGGGCCTCTCGGGGGCCTCTTGTGGCTTCTCGGGGTGCCTCTTGGGGGCCCCTTGGAGACTCTTGGGAGCCTCTTGGGGCCTCCTGGGGGCCTCTTGGGGCTGAAGGCTGGACTTTGCGGTTCCTGGTTTCCTTTGTGGGCCCTTCTTGAGGCTGTTTTGGGGCCTTCTTGGGCTGCTTTGAGGCCCTCGGCGTGCAGCCTGGCTCGAGGGGACGTTTATTCTTGCTATAGTTTTAGCGGATGCAAGAGCGTATTCCGCGCTGGTCGGCCGAATCTCGTCGTCGTCGTCGTCGTCGTCGTCGTCACCGTCGGCAAACATGCGCGCAAACGCACTCTGCAGTGCTTTTCATGCAATTCGCTACATTGTTTCTCTTCTAAGACTTGCTTGTGCTGGCGTGCGGACGCACACAGAAGTGCTCTTCACTGTCTGGCGCCCTCCCGCTTCGCTGACAAGGAGAGCTGGAGTATCTGCAAACAACAATTCATGGATGTTTCTTGGACTGTTCTGGATCGATTTTGGAGGCTGGGCTTGAAATGTCCCTTCGGGCTCCTCGTCTGGGCTCCGTCTTAGGGCAGTCCTGGGGGCCATCTTGGGTTGTCTTGGAGGCCTGTTGGGCCGTCTTGGGGCCATCTTGGGCTGTCTTGGGACCTTGAAGCCCTCTTGGGCCGTCTGGTGGCGATGTTGAGGGCATCTTGGGCTGTCCTGGAGCGTCGAAAAGCAGAATGGGTGAGAACGCCAAAATCCTTTCAAACCCATTGGAAATTAATGATTTTTGTGCCCTGAGGCCCTGTGGAGACGCTTCTTGGAGGCGTCTGTAGGCGTCTTCGAGGCGTCTGCGGCCTCGTGGAGGCGATCTTGGGCGTCTTCGACCGATCGGTCGGCGGCTCGGAGCCCTCTTGGAGCGCTCTGAGGGTGCGGAAAACCGCCCCCGGGAGTTCCGGCATCCTTGGGCAGACCTTGCCGGGACTTTTCCGGGAGTCTGCCAGAACTTTGCCGGAGTACTTTTTGTCCGGGGACCCCCAGGGGCCGCCCTGCGCGCGCGAACTAGAAATACTTTGGACCAGCTACCGGAGATCTTAGCATGCCGCTGGCCCGTTGGGCCAGCGAATTTGTCATTCCCTTGACGTGGAGTGTATGATGCGTTCGTCTGCTGTTCATCGGGGCCACGTGGTGGTTAACTGCGAAGGTCCTGAGGCCTCGGGAGAAGCTACTGGTGTCTTGGAACGCACATATTTGTCGCGCTCACCATTCCCTCATGTCTCTCTGACGAGGTTCAGGTCATTCGCAGTGTGATCAGTAAAGCGTCGGGAGTTCCGTTGCCGACGCTCAAGGATGCAATATATCATTTGGGAAAGGTCGGAGGAGGAGTCGAAGAACAAAGCTGATATGCTCACACACCTTCGTCGCTTGAATGCAGCGGATACTGATTTGAAGCATAATTCGAGTATTTCTCTGGCCATTCTTTCGGATGAGCTGTCCAGTCTTCTGGAGGATGGCGCCAGTGTCTGCGCTCCTCGCTGTTGCCCCCGCCACATTCAGCAATGTGGTCGACAGGGCTGGCCTCAAGTTTTGTCCAGGTTGATTTGCAGTTTGGTGTGTGGCCGCTTCTGCAGGACATGTTTGTTTCCTGCTCGTTTTCTCGGTGCGTAGGTTCTTGCTTTTTTCCGAAACAAACAGGGCCTGACATGGTGGACGATGTGCAGTTTGATGTTTGGCCCCTTTTGCAAGGCATGGCCTCTTCACATTCATCCTCTTTGTGCGAAAGATTCGACATCTTCGTGCCTAGCGAACTTAGGCAGATATTTCCGAAGCGGCCTCGCTTACTTTTTCTGGCGGTTATATCTCGGAATCGTTCAATGATGCTTCGCAATCCCATGGTATATGCTGAATTATGGGGATTTTATTGTTTCATTGACTTTACTTCTATCGTGCTGAAGAAAGGCTCACACGTTGCCATCCCAGGTTCCAATTATTGGAGAGTTTTTTTCTGGCACGTCTGTCGGCGAATCAGTTGTGCAGCAATGACATGACGGCTGAACATACTTCTGAACTCTATTGTGATTCGATCCCCTTGGCGCGTATTGTTCCGAGTCAGGCAGGAGGCAAACGACAGGAGTCGGGCGCAGGGGAGTTGTTCATCAGGCCTCTCATCCTCACTGATTTTATTGTGCGTGATTCGTCTTTGCAGTTCATTCTAGCATTGCGGGCGCAGCCTTGATGCTAGGCGTGATGTTGGGGTTGTGGAGTTGCCAGGATGCACACCCATAGACCTGTTGCTTTAACTATCCAAAGGATTGGCTTCGGTGGTCTACCCGCATTTGCGGGACGCACGGCCTGGCTGGTAACGCGAGTTGCGTTGTCACAGTTGACGCCGCGCAGTTTCCCGTTTAACGGAATGATTGTTGCTCGCTTTTTCAGAGGGAGTGGCTTCGGTGGTCTACCTGCGTCGCGCGGGCGGCGCGGCATGGTTGATGGCTCGCGCTGTGCTGTCACGGGTGACGTGCACACCTCTGTTCCTAGGGAACGGTTTTGGTGGTTTACCCCCGGCTTGACGGTGGCACGACCTGTTGGATGGCGCGGACCGTGCTGTTTCAGGTGACGCTGCAGATCTGTGGTGGGGGCCGTCTTTGGGCTCTCGTGTTTTTCTTCGACCATTCCAAAACACATTTTCTGCTTTGGTTGCCATTATAGTGGCTGTTGACTATATGGACTAACGGTCGCAGCTTGTCATTGCCCACGCCTTCGGCCCCGTGGTTAAACAAGTCATAAGAATCAGCATTGCCATCATCGGCATCGGCATCGTCATCGCCACCGCCTCTGTCGTCGTCATCATCACCAATATCGTCGTCATCGCCATGACCACCATCATCCCCTTCGCAACTTCGGCACACGCCTCACGCGCTTCGTGGCCCCGTAGGAAGTTCCACCGGATGTCCGAGTGGCACGGTACCCGTGTCGGCGCGCCGTTCCCACGCGTTGCGGCCAATACAGGACTCCACCGCATGCCCCAAAGGCAGCGGCCGCGTGCGGCACCCACTCCAGCATCGAAAGCCTCTCACACAATGTATGGCCCCATGGGGAGCTCCACCGAAAGGCTCAGAAGCAGGGTCCGCATGGCGGCCCCGCCTCATTCCGGTACGCCCATCACACGTGTGGTGGCCTCAGGGAAGGGGGGATGGTCGATGAGGAGGAGGAGGAGCACTGAGAAATTTTCAAGGATGGGCAGAAGAGGGAGGAAGGACGAAGGTTGATGAGGAGGGGGGATGGGGGAGAAGGAGGAGGAGGAGGAGGAGGAGGAGGAAGAGGAGTAGGTAAGAGGAAGCGGAGGAGGGAGAGGGGGTCTGGCAGGCTTGTGGGATGAGCACAATCTCCTCAGAGCGCCATGGAAACCCCTGAGATTGTTCAGGAGAGCTCTGAAACGGCCGCGGTCCCCGATTCATCCTCCAGACCCGCCAGTTCTCAGAGATTTGTGATTTGTGTCCATCCCGATTTATCTGCATCCCAGGTGTCGTTTTGGATCGCATGCGATTTCTTTCACATTTACCCAGGTATGACCCCAAACAGACAAGCAGTTCAGAAAACAACGGGATTTCGGGGATACACCCCAGACGGGCGATGCAAGCCAATTCGTAGCAAGGGTTAGGGGTCCCCTTCATCGTATACCCCGACTTTGGCAAACGGATGCTGCTCTCCAGTCGAACAAACCCACAAAACCGGGGAATTTAGTCGCCGTGCGTTCGGACCGAGGTATAAGATCGAGGTCGGTTTGGGCAGGGATCCCTAATGTTCGTCGTGTTTGTTGGATGTTCTTGTGCATCATGGGGGAATGCACCCTCGAGTGATTTTATGGTTTGGGGCGTTTTGGCTGGCGGAGGGTCCCATGCTCTTGGAGGACTGGTTTCGATCTGTTTGTGCCACTCATTATTAGAGGGTCGGCGGAGCGCCGAGGGGGAAGTCAGATGGGGGCAAGCTTTCTCAGACGGCGGTGGGGCTTCTCAGAAACCCTCCGGTTACGATGCATCTTCTGGGGACCTCGTCTGTCCTGCAAATTGCTGTTTTCCCTTGCACCCCGACGCGGATTCGACATGCATTCGACGCGGATTCGACATGTATTCGACGCGGACATGACGTTTGACGCGAATTCCAAACGGATTCGACACGGATAGTGGTGCGGTTGGAGAGACAAGGTTTTTTGAAGATGCGATGTAATTCCAGTCTTCAAGGATTCTCTTGTGTGGCATCGGAAACTGCTCAGAGCTGCTCAGGGAGCCGCTCAGAAAGCCTGGGGCCCGCCCGACCCCTCTGCCTTGCCCCTTGGCGCGCCGCCAACACTCCCTCCCGTGATGCGAGGGTGGCGTACTAGGGTTTCGGCCCGGGCCCCAAGGCTCCAGGGGGTCGGCATCGGCATCGGCATCGGCATCCGGCGTGGTCGTCGTCGTCGTCGTCGTCGTCGTCGTCGTCGTCGTCGTCGGCCCGAGGGAGTCCGCTGCCGCGCCCCAGGCCCGACGGGGGGTCCTCCAGCCGCCGCCCCGCGGGCCCGAAACCCTGCTCAGGACGACGACTGGCGGCGCCAGGGGGGGCAAGCCCGAGCACGACCGCCCGCCCGCGCCGCCGCCCTCGCGTCGTCGTCGTCGTCGTCGTCGTTGTTGCTGCTGCTGTTGTTGTTGTGGTGATGTTGTGGTTGTTGTGCTTGTTGTGCTTGTGGTTGTTGTTGTTGTTGTTGGCGGTGTTGTTGAACTCTCACTGCTAAAGAATAATGGTTGTGGATCCCCCTCCACCGCTGACCATTTTGCGTTTTTGAACTGAAGTGCTTCCCCCTGAGCTCACACCCTGTCTTCTATCAGGCAAAGTCACAGGGCTCAAACCGGGCTCTCGGCCCCTGGTTTACAACAACAGCGGCTCCCGCCTGATACTTCCTCACAAGTTATCCCCGAATCGGGCTCTCGCGCGGGATGTCCGCACAATTAATGTACGCATCGCGCTCTCGCGTGGGATTTTTCGCAATTCTAGACGCTTCGCGTGACCCCACCAGTCCGCTTAGGCCTCTGTTTGCTGGTGCGTTAGGCAATTAGGTTTGCGCGCGGCCCGCCCGTCCCGTTTGACGCCGCCTGCGCTTTCGCTTGCGGCTGCGACAAAAAATACACCAGCCCATCCAGAAACGATGCCCAGAGGAATTACCTCGATCAGGGAGGTGGGCAGCACCCAGAGGAAGCCATTATGAGACATTGTTGGGTATCCTGAGCCATCTTGGGGGTCATCTTGGGCTCTCCCAGGCGCTCTTGGAGTCATCTTAATCAGTGCCTCCCCCCCACAGTCCAACATGTGGCTAAAACCTTAGTAGAGTCAATGATTTGGCATTCTCGCCGAGGCGTCTTGGAGCATCTTCGGTGCCCCTGGGGGGTCTTTGGGGGTCTCTTGGGAGCCTCTTGGGGGCATCCTGGGGGCCTCTTGGGGCTTCCTGGCCACCTCTTGGGGCCCTTTCGGGGCACCTTTGGGAGGTTTGGGGGCCATATTTGCGCCATCTTGGGTGAGATCGATCACACGAGGGGTGTCTAATTACAGCCCCCCCTCAGGAGGCCAAAATGGGGCCCACACCCTAGTAAAACCAACGATTTCTGCTTCATCGCCGATGACGTTTTGGACGTTCCGACACCTCGCGCAACCCCCTCTGTCCAGGTCCAGGGGAGGGGCTAGGGGGAGGGGTCAAGAGTCCCCCTCCCCGCCCGCAAGCCGTCTCGCTCACCCCCACCCGCCCTCCCAACACATACGTAGCACCCGAGCCTGGCCCGAGCCGCAGCATATGCAGCAGTCGTTTTTGAATGGGCAGTTACTGGGGGCGCATCCGCCGCCGCCGCCGCCGCCCGCCGCCGCCGCCGCTGCCGCGCCGCCGCCGCCGCCACCGCCGCTGTCCGCCGCCGCCGCCGTCACCGCGCCGCCCGCCGCCGCCGCCGCCCCCGCTGCCGAGTCGCCGCCGCCGCAGCCACTGCCGCCGCAGTCGCTGCTGCCACCGCTGCCGCCGCCGCCGCCGCCGCCGTCCGGTGAACAT